GACAATCATCGTTTCAAAACCTATGATGTTGAAAATTAAAACATTTAAGCATACCTTGTTCCATATGTTGTCGAAAACATCACCACTTTCTTAAACTATCTTTACAACTCGATTGATTTGTGTCCTTCAGGCTTTCTAATGTCTTCCATTGATAAATTATTAATCAGGATTAGTAATTGAATTGTCAAACACACGCGTCAAGAGTATTCATTGGCCAAAAACATTTCAATGAGAAAATATGGTTAGTTTTTCCAATTCTAGCTAGGGTTCCGATGTGGTATGTGTTGGTTATTTTCATGACCAAAACATAAAACACGGAAGCATAATATGAAGAGCTTTAACCTCGAATCTGATTAAAATAAAACTTAAACTAGAAATAATGATTACATACCTTGCTCCATTGAGATTTTCGGATCTAGAGACTAGGAAGATTTTTCCAGTTGATCTCAAGAGTTCTCTCTAAAATCCCCCAGCAATGAACCATACGAATTTCTTAGTGTATTTTCGTATGTCTTGATTTTCTCCTCATCACATATATTTATAGATGGAGATAAACCCTAATGTGAGAGATGGAAGGGATCTTGAGGATCTTGAGTCAAACCGGGAACTCAACCCACAAGGTAAGTAAATATTCTATAAATCGGTCCATCAACAATTTATACTCTTACCATAATAACTAGATTTAATAACATATCGTACAAATTTATGAAGTGGTCTCATAATTATCCAACAATCTCCCACTGGACCACGAATATATAAACGTACGTATAACTGTGTAAGCGCTTTAATTAATGTTATTATAACATTGGTACCCTTAAACAATCTAGTCCACTAATCATAATAGTATAGGATCAAAGCGGCCTTCGTTACAATTTACGTAACTAAACCTCTCAATGGTCACATATACATATATAACTAACGACATAGATTAAACATGATGTGTGGTTTTAAAATCTAAACAGATTTTTTAACGAGTTCCTTTTTATATTGAAGTGAGATCAAACTTCAAATAAGTGCAACTAATAATGAAGTTAACTGAATTCTTAATTCTGTACAGAAAAACATAATTGATCTTAAACAAAACATAAAGCACCATAAAACTCCCACTAAAACCAAATATCACACCAACGTGTGTAGTATGCTTATGAAAAACCTAGGGAGGTAATCCCTTTATGAGCGGATCCGATTTCATGGAGTTTGTTCATATGTGCTATATATATATATATATATATATATATATATATATATATATATATATATATATATATATATATATATATTACCATTTTGCACTATTGTGTTAATAGAAGGAAACTTGATGTCAATATGCTTTGACTTAATAGAACTTCTGTTGTTGGAATACAACATTGCTGACTTATTATCACAACTTTAATGGTCTTTCAATACCAATAATGTGTAACCTCGTGACAAATTTTCGCAACCATATTCCATGCTATAAATTATGATGCCATTATGGAAGAAGCTACCGAAGTCTATTCCATGAAATGCTTTATCATGCTAAAATGTAAAAGTGTCCTGATATGGATCAGTAACCATTTTGGCATCTAATAAAATCTAATTCTTAATATAAATGATCTCCAAAACATCTGAATTTCTCGTAGTTGAGCATATAGACTTTTGTTATAGATCCAAACTTGAGTTGCATATATATCTACCCAAAACCAAAAAGATAAATTTACTCCCACTTAATCTGTGATACACAAAATCATCTATTATATTTACCTGGAAACCAAAAGAGATAAAAAAAAAAAATTATGAAAAAATGTGGTACCACGCATAGGATATCCAAAGTTGAGGTTGTTGAGTTTGTGTATTTTGAATAAGAGATTGAATAACATTGTCGATCACTTTTCCATAATTTGCATACTATCGAAAACAATAATAGGAATCAAGATTGATTCCTCCTTAAAGACAATGTTTTAACCTTGTTTCTCCCCCAAACTCAACATCCTCAAAGAGTGTTACTCTATCCAAAAATGCTAGGTCAATACCTATACAATTGAGAACTAACATAATGCCCTCATTCCATTCCTTAAAGTTAATCTCATTGAGTACATGACTCATAAATGTGATCAATGTTAACAAATATAATACCATAATTCAAACATAAGCAACTCTATTTTTATGCTCATTAATCCATAAACCGTAATCAATAAATTCAATTTATGATATCTTTATAAGGTATCAACACAACATTAATATCATGTCTTTGGACAGTAATACTAACTTGTAAGAGATAACCTTATTTTAGAGATAAACATCGACAATAAATCATGTCAATTAACAAACCCCTCTTTGAATTGACTTATTAATTACATGGAACCAAAAAATCGTCACATGTTTATCACCACATATATGTTTATTCGGCCAAATATCAGTCTACCTTTGGGTCGGCTAATACCCGCATTAATAAACACATAAACAATAAATTTTGATAATAAGAATTGGCAATATATCATGTCAATTAATAAGTTTATCTTTGGATTGACTTATTAATGTAATGTAACCTAAAAATTGTCATATATCTATTATCAAACATGTGTTTATCCGACCAAACATTAATCTACCTTTGGGTCGATTAATATCCGCATTAACAAACACAAAAACCATAAAATTTAATAAAAAATTTACAATAAATTTTGTCGATTAATAAACTTCTTTTTGGACTGACTTATTAATGACATGCAACCTTAAAAATTGTTGCATGTTTATTATTATATATGTGTTTATTCGGCAAAATATGAATCTACCTTTGGGTTGATTGATATTCGCATTAATAAACACATAAACCATAATATCATTACTGAATTTATTGATAATCAAGAATAATAACAATAATAATCATAAAATATGAAAATGATTTCATATATCAAAAAATTTTCTTTAATTAAATTGCATAAACACTAATAGTATTAAAATGCAAACACACTGAGAGGACGAGTGTTTAAAAATACATTAAATGATGATAGATTTTGTAAACACGCTCTTCTTGCCATAAAAAACAAAAGATTAATTGAATCAAAAGTGGAATAGCACCGTTGAATACCCACACATCATAAAATTTGAAACAAAAAGACTAGGCCAGTTTAATACTTTAATATCCCAAGTTAAAGTACCATAGAATTTAAGTTACACAACATTTATACAAAAGTTCAATATCCTTTGATCTCGTGAATATCCTTATTGGATATTGATAACATAATAACAAAATTGCTAAGCAATAAAAAATGCTTTATAAATATAAAGATATCATCAAAAGCATTTTATTTATTTGGTATTTCAACTGCTTAATTTAAATGATGGCGAATATCAATATTATCAAAAATATTGATTTTATAACTTCTGCAAATATCATATCCATAAATAACATAATGGTGCTTTTATATAAACATAAAACATGCTTAAGATAATACTTAAACGAAAATACATTGCCGTCATCAAAAAATTTCTGATTACTCTATCGTTGCAACTTGCAAGATATTGATTTGCAAATTTTCTCAAACTAGATCTTAACATGCATAAAACAATTTTGCTTTAAACTTTTAATGGTCATTTTATGACAAAATGTTTGTAGTCGGTCAATCAAATAAAGTGTATGCGGGGTTGGAAAATGTTGTCAAATATTATATCCATATCCACGCAACATAAATCCGGCAAGAAAAATAAGACTAAACACATATATACCGGTATGTGTTAGATCGAAGGTAAGATCCGAAACAAACCCAAAAAAAAATAAAATAAAAAATAAAAAATAAAAAATAAAAAATTACAGATCTTAAATAAGTCAAATATATATTCTAGTATCAAATTCGAGTAGGCTCTGATACCAATTGTTAGTTATTTTCATGACCAAAACGTAAAACGCGGAAGCATAATATGAAGATCTTTAACCTCGAATCTGATTAAAATAAAACTTACACTAGAAATAATGATTACATACCTTGTTCCATTGAGATTTTCGGATCTAGAGACTACGAAGAGTTTTCCAGTTGATCTCAAGAGTTCTCTCTAAAATCCCCCAACAATGAACCATACGAATTTATTAGTGTATTTTCGTGTGTCTTGATTTTCTCCTCATCACATATATTTATAGATGGATATAAACCCTAATGTGAGAGATGGAAGGAATCTTGAGGATCTTGAGTCAAACCGGGAACTCAACCCACAAGGTAAGTAAATATTCTATAAATCGATCCATCAACAATTTATACTCTTACCATAATAACTGGATTTAATAACATATCGTACAAATTTATGAAGTGGTCCCATAATTATCCAACAGTATAGCCTCTCTTTTCTTGCAAATCAAGTAATCCCGCCACATCACCACATGATTGTGAATCATTCGGTGGTGAGTGAGAGAAAGAGAGAACGGGCAGGGAGAGAGGTGAATAAAAGGTAATCGGTGGTGGTGGCGGTGAGTGTCAATCATGTGGCCATTGTCAACGGGGACGGTGGCGACAACTAGGGTTTTTGGAGGGTGGTTACTCGAACTGATAGTGATAATGGTGGTGGAGAAGGTCGGGAGGTTGTTGTAGGTGACAGAGAAGAAGGAGAAATGGTGGTAAAAGATTGGTTCCTTTGAAGAGTTGGTTGAAATATGTGGAGCAGATAGAGATAGAAGATGAAGCAGGAGGTGCAGGTGTCGATGGGTCCTAATTGTTAGTATTGATAGTATTGATAACTTAATTTGATAAATGGGTCTTGATTGTTAGTATTGATAATTTCATTTTAACAAAATGATAACGTTATATTATTAGTAAATGTCATTAGTTTTTTTGCTATTATAAATCTGTCATAATAACCGAGTATATGGAAATATACCAGCGGGCCATTATTAGTGGCACTCAACTTTAATAATGATAATAAACTTTTCAATTTAAATAAAAAAAAAAATGAAACATATCACACAGTGCAACATTTTTTGCTATTTAAAGGAACCATGATCCACACATTTATTCATTCAATTTGAGAACAAAATGTCTTCAGAAATTAAGAAAGAAGAAATTGATTCCAAAGAAGAAGAAGCAGCGGTAAAAGAAATATGGAAATATGTTTTGGGTTTCACTCCAATGGCTGTAGTTAAGTGTGCCATTGAGCTCAGGATACCCGATATTCTCCAAAAACATGACACCCCGATGACACTTACCAAACTTGCATCCGAGCTCGGGTGTTCATCATCATCCTTGTATAGAATCATGAGGTTCTTGATCCAGTATAAGATATTTCAAGAAAAGCCCATATCAGACACATCCATTGGATACGCTCTAACACCTTTGTCCCGGCTTCTAACGAGGCATGGAAAACATAGCATGGCTGATTTGGTGCTTTTAGAGAGCACTCCGGTCATGTTAGCAGCATGGCACAAGCTAAGTGCTATGGTTTTGGGCAGCCAAAACACGCCTTTTGAGGCAGCACATGGTGTTGATCTATGGAAATTCGCAGCCGCAAATCCTAGTCATAGTAAGCTCATTAACGATGCCATGGCTTGTGATGCTCGGAATGCCGTGAGGGCGGTGATCGAGGGTTGTCCGGAGGTGTTTGAGGGGCTGAAGACGGTGGTGGATGTTGGTGGTGGTGATGGAACGGCTCTAGGATTGATTGTTGAGGGTTGTCCATGGATCAAAGGGATTAATTTCGATCTGCCTCATGTTGTGTCAGTGGCTCCTGCATGGAAAGGTGTAGAACATGTAGGAGGCAGCATGTTTGATCATATTCCAAAAGCTGACGCTGCTTATTTGATGGTTAGTGAATTTATGTGAGCTCTTATTTTGAATTGTTTTCCCTTTCTATATATAGGATTGCATGGATAATTGATATTTAAAATATCTTTGAATAAATGAAAACACATTTTATAAATGGAAAAAGATAAATGAGAATAAATTTATAAATAAATTCTTAATGGAGAAAGTCTTGTTTCTTAAATTTTTATATTGAGTTGTTTACTTTCTTCAACAAATAGAAAATAAACACTTGTATGTATAAGAAAAGAAAGGGTGAATTGCACCCATCACGGAGCATAGACAATCATATATATGTATTGGAATTAAAGTAATGTCTTAAATCCAATAATTAATAAAGAAAAAAATACCCTAGTAAGCTATGCTTATCTACTAACTACTAATGAACATAATACCATATATACAGGTTATTTTGATCTTTAGATTTGTTAGAGTTTCTAACTTGTACCGGAAATGATGATATTTGAATATTTTAGAAAGTATTGCACGATTGGGGAGACGACGAATGCATTGACATACTAAGAAAATGTCGAGAGGCTATTCCTCAAGATACAGGGAAGGTGATCATCGTAGAGTCAATTGTTGGACTTGAAGAAAACCATGACTTTGAAGACGTGGTATTGATGCTTGACATGGTGATGATGGCTCATACAAGCACCGGTAAAGAACGAACTTTAAAAGAGTGGTCATGTTTGTTTGATGAGGCTGGATTCACTCGTTACAGTATAAAACAAATTACAAGCTATCACTCTGTTATTGAAGTTTATCCCTGAATCTCCGTCTTTTAATCTTAGCAATTATGGTTTACTTGTGAATCGTATCTTTGTTTTGTATGTTTATAATGATGTGTAATCAGAATAATTATTGTATGTTTGTAATGTTCTCTGGTTTTACAATAAAAATATAATTATTCTATTACAGATAGATTAGACTATTCTAAAATGTTCAAGTTAAAACTTCAAAAAGTTATTTAAATCATTTTCAATTTAGATAAATATCTAAAAACATCAACAAAATTTAATTTAATTAAATAAATGAATAAAAATCACACCATTAAAGATTTTTTGCTATTAAAATTTAAACTAAGTGTACCTATCTTTCATCGGTCACATTTTAAAATCATATCAACTTTCTACTCACTCACCAAAAGACATAAAATAGTCACTATTTACTAGCTTTCACTTTTATTTTATTTTTAAATAAAAATAATTTAATTTTAAGTTTTATAATTTAAAAAATAAATATAATTATTTAAAAATGATTAATAAACAAAAAAATGAATAAAAATAGAAATATTTCATTACTTAGAATAAAAAAAATACATTAAAAAACAAGACTAAAAAAACCTAGAAAACAACCAACATTTGAAAAAAGAAAAAAATAACCACATTTATAAATAAATAAATAAATAAATATTAAAAAAAACGACCTACATTTAAAAAGGACGAAACGATGTAGGGAAATCTTTTTTCATGATATTCTCCTTCTTCTTTAAAACTAGTTCGATACCCGATCCGGAAAGATGATTGTTTTTTTCCGTCAAGAATTTCACATCGTCAATTTCTTGCCTTTCCGCACGCTCTTTGTTTTGTTTTTTTTTTTTTTGCTTCTTTTTCTTTGTCGAATGTCAAACGTTCAGCGAAATTTCGATTGTATCGATCAAAGGTCGCCGTTATTTTCCGTTTTTTGTCTGCTTCCATGCTAGAATCTGATGCATTGGAAGAAGACCATTCTCTTTCCTTTTTGCTTTGTCCCTACCCATCGGTCGGACAATTTCTTCTAGCCCGAGTTCGACATCCTCATTTAAATCTAGCTCGACAATGAGCATGAGAAGAAGTTGTGTATCAACTAGAGCCTGTTTTTGTTCTTTTTTATTGTACTCCTCCTAATATAAAGTCAGCTTCATATTATTTCCATCTTGGACTAAGAATTAACACATTCCAAGGCTCGTTAAACTTGAATGTATGTCATGTTTCTTCGCGAAAAAAAAAAATACAAAATCTCTTGAAGAATTTCTTCACATCCTTGACCGCTTGTCCTTTAGGTTTTTAGATTTCTTGTACAACCCATTTATTTTTGAAACATTTTTTCTTATTTCTCAAAACGTTGAATTAAGTTTGTGTTTGGTACACTACTCATCATCTTTACCCAACTCCTTGTGAAATCTTTCAAGAATATGAAGCGAAAAATGTTATTGTGGTTGTGCATTTCCTTACTTTGAATCCTGCGAAATGTCAACCCAAACACTAGCTCTTCTTGTGGATTCCATGCTAGAGGCTTCTGCTTTGTCTTCTTTTGCACTGGGTGTTTTCCTTTGCTATGTTGTGGGGTTGGGGGAGTAGGGGTAGTTTCTCGTATAAGTTCTTCGTCCGAATCATCAAGGTTATGGTTTTTTGGTTGTGAGTGAAAAGGTTGGGTTTAGTTTTCGATTTGAGACTGATAGAGTGAGGTTTGGCTTTGGGGTTGTTTAGTGCAAATTGATCGGGAAAAACGAGAAAGTTGTTTAACATATTTGGAATAACATTTGGTACTTGCACGTGGTAGTATTGTCTAACATTTTGGTATTGAAATTGTGAAGGAGATTGAATGGGGGCATCAAGTTGGAGAAGAAAACCCGCCTGGGATAGATCGAAGGCAAATATGTTTCTAGTTGGCTCACTTGAACTCGAAACATTGGTTTTTATTCTTGTTGGGTTTTGATACGAAATAAAAGTTTGTTTTTTCATAAAAACGGCAACGAAAGACTTTAAAAATAAAAAGTTTAGTTTTAATTCATAACAAAATCACACCATCATGGATCCATTTATAGAGGTTAGAATGAAATAAAAACAACCATAGGATGTTTTAGAGATAACCATTGAAGCCTTTGAACCCACTTGGTTTTAGGGTGTTGATGAAGATAACTATAACACTCTAAAAATCCAAGCCAATTTAAACTTTCCAAAAACCACCCAGTTTCATTAAGTTATTACAAAAAGGTTTTCAATACATTTATTATTAGACTATTCCCAGAACCATATCATAAAACAAGAACATGAGGAGCGGTACGATCACACCTTCGCCTTGCCACGGTCTCCTGAAGTACCTGAAAAACATTAAACCACAACTGTAAGCCCGAAAGCTTAGTGAGATACCCCCAAAATACCAGCCACATATACCACGCATAACATATCATAACAGAACAGAACCCATAACAACCATGCATTTCGGGTCTACTGTGTGACGGGTCCACCGTACCGGGCCTTCAGTCCACCTGGTCCACCCTACGAGTCTAGCCATATATACATTGAGTCTACAGTGTGATTGGTCCATCCGTGTCGGGCCCTCAATCCACCTTGTCCACTCTCCGAGTCTACATTATCACTGGTCCGCCCCCACCGGGCCTTCAGTCGGCCTGGTCCACTCTCCAAGCCTTGGCACATCTGGTCCGCCCTCGTGGCGCCTACAGCCTATCCGGACTGCTGGTTGGGCGTTCGGGATAACCGGTCCGCCCTGGGTATGTTGGCCTACAGCACAAAGCAGGACCTGCCTCAACCCAACCCTAGTCCAACAACCATGTGCACATAAACATACAATCATATAACAATTTGCATCCAATCAAACCGATCTAGCAGATCACATAACATAACATCATCCTAACCAGGATACCGACCTAACCGGTCACTAGCATAGCATCATCCTATATGCCAGGATACCGACCTTAACCAGGTCTCTAACATATACCATCCTAACTACCAGGATGCAAACATAGCAAAGCAATAACATAACAACGATACCCGGATTACAATCCGATAAAGGGTCAGCCTTGGTTCCTTAGACCCTGTTGATATAGTGAGGATAACTCACCTTGCAACTGCCGACTGAAAAGATAAGATCACGCTGCTCCAACCTCGGACACGAACTTCACTACTGATCAATAACCAAAACACTGAACTTAATCAATACCAAAATACCCTTGGAAGACAATTGGTCAACACAAGACTATCTCTACTCGCCGAGTCACCCCGCTGACTCGTCGAGTCCCTATGCTCTGAAAATCCCATAGCACGACTCAACTCGCCGAGTCGCCCCAAGACTCGCCGAGTCCCACAACTCTGAGTCTAATCGCACTCAACTCACTGAGTCATCCCTTGACTCACTGATTCACAGCTCAACCAGGAAAGGTTAGGACCTCACAACCAGACTCGCCGAGTCCAAGGCTATCTTCAACCAACTCGCCGAGTTGTTCTTCCAACTCGTCGAGTTTCTGCCTATCTTCATGAAACTCGCTGAGTACACCCATGTGACTTGCCGAGTACCACTAGCTCTTAACCCATACAGAGGCTTTCCAAGCCATGCAGGGTCTCAAATCCATAGATCTACTCTTCTACAAGCCATCTATCATGTAAAGTGGCAAACTTTACGTGAATCCAAGGAGATCTAAGCTTGATACACTCTAGGGCTAGGGTTTGGGACTAAAAGGCTTCATCAACAACTCTTGAACAGGGACTTTATGCTCTTTTAGATCAGCACTACTCTAGATCTGAGGTAGCAACCTCAGATCCAACCTCCAAACTCAAGATAGCACTAGATATACTCCCAAAAATCCCACAAATGATAGATGTAGATGGATAACAGCTCAAACAATGAATCATTACCTCAAGAGAAGACTCCAACAAAAGAATAAGCCAAAACCTTTCAAAGCCCCTTGCTCCAAGCCTCTTAATCTTCAAAGATCTCTTCAACAACACTCCTTCAAGATCCAAATTCTCTCTAATTCTCTCAAAAAACAAATATTAGGGTTTCTGGACTTCAAGGGAGAGTAAAGAGGCTGGGGAGAGGGTATTATGTTCTTTATATAGGGCTCAACCCCCGGGATTAGGGTTTCCTCCACACAGCACCAACTCGCCGAGTCCAGCCACCGACTCGCCGAGTTGGCCACTTAACACGCGTCCAGAATCGTGACCCTACTCGCCGAGTCTACCCATGGACTCGCCGAGTTGACCATCCACATTTTCACTTTGAACCCTGAACTTGCACTCCTGAACTCAGGATGTTACAATAACAAAAGATCAAAGTGTATGATCTTCTCTACAAGTATCCACCATCAAGAGTAAGGCACTTGGAATGTTAGTTCCTTCTTCTATTCTTGAGTGTCTAAAGCCTTTAAGTGCTTAACTCAATTAAGCACTAAAGGGAACAACTCAAGAGAGCTTCTAAACACCAAAGTATAGCACCGAACTTCAAAGGTTTGATGCTTCTTCATGCTCACGGTTTTAGAGTGAAAATAAGGGAAGAAGAAGATAAAAACTTGCACATTTCTCATACACAAGACACTCTTATATAGTCCATGAGAGGTAAGGCTTTACCATTAAAATAACCTAAAGTAACGGTAGCTTTAGAAGCATGGGAGATAAAAGGTGGAAGGTTGACATGCAACCTCCCATACCTTCATCATGCTTTCTGCCCATGCTTATTTTATAAGAAAGATTCTTTAATTTTTATAAACTCTAAGTTTATAAAATATAAACTGTCTTTAGGTAAAAGACAAAAGAATCCAACTAGTCCAAAATGTTGTGCATGACTTATTAATTTATACCATATGAAATAATAAGTAGTAATACTCTTTTATTATTATTTTGACAAAACAATAATTATTGTTAATTATAATACAATAGTTGATATTATTTATTAATAATCATATTAATAATAAATATACAAAATGTGTCAACTTGATAAATGTGTGACCCTATAGGACCATATATTATTAGCAATATCTCTCCATAATAATTAT